CTTAGCTCACCGGAACCGCGTGGGAGGAACAAAAGGATGAGACTGACACCTCCCTGAGGAATTTGCACTGTTGTGGCTGGGGGACTTTGGGAACTGGGGTTTTAGTCTGGGAAGATTCTTGCTAGAGGTTGTAGCTAATAAACATAGCTGGACTAGATTTGCATGGTCTCTTGGAGTTCCTTGGGCTAGGCCTGACATCAGTTGAGTTTTATCTTCAGCTCTGAACAAAAGAAAAATTATAAACTTAAGAAAGAATTTGAAATAAATGGCAAAAAGCTAAATAAGATTTTGATCTAAGAAAGTTATAAACAGATTAAGGGTCCAGATAAATTTGGAATATTGACTTTTACTGTAAGATTTTGTAATTAACTATAAAAAATAAATAGCTTCTTATGGGAAACAGACGTATTTTGGCTATCCTGGCTATTGTAAGCCATAACAAAAAGAAGTTACTTTATGATTTTAGAAACTGAACACTAAAGATTCTAAGCAGAAGGAAAAAAAAAATACAAGCCTGTTCTTGATGACAGTTTATACTGGACTTACAAAATGATACAAAATGTTATAACATTGGGAACATTAAAGGAGATCTTTGCAGAATGGAGCCAGAAATTAACAGATGTGGAACAAATTTTATCTGACAAGACAGAGAAAGTACCAAAAGTGAAACCACAGACGACAGGCCAAGAGAATGATTTGGAAAAGGATGCTTTACTACATATACAAAGGAAACTAGGTGAAGTTTTAAAAATTAAAAGAAAAATACAAATGATAAACCAAGAGAATGACCTGGAAAATGTTTTCTTATTGGATTTACAAAGGAGGCCTTGAAGAAGTGAAACCACAGACGACAGGCCAAGAGAATGATTTGGAAAAGGATGCTTTACTACATATACAAAGGAAACTAGGTGAAGTTTTAAAAATTAAAAGAAAAATACAAATGATAAACCAAGAGAATGACCTGGAAAATGTTTTCTTATTGGATTTACAAAGGAGGCCTTGAAGAAATCTGTGTGATGGGATAAAGAAGAATTGAAGAGAAATCAAATCCTACAACAATATTTGAATGAACTAAATATTAAAAGTATATATCTAAATATTAGAAGTAAAAGAAAGGAATATAAAGTTTTATGATCAATATTAAAATAAGACTTTTTTTTTTTTTTTTTGCAAAGTTCTGGCAACTCTTTGTGGACTTTTTGCTGACACCAATATTGTTGGTG